TTTCATTTATCTTTGACTGAAAGAGAAAAAGGCTCCATGAGTCCCACATGGGTAATTTTTCATGGCAGAAGAAAACAGCGGTAGATGCCATTTTGTTCATAGTCAAGTAATTTTAAATGGGATAGAGAATATTTTGGGGCCCTTAAGGTAGGAAGAAGGAAGGGAAGGAGAGAGCTGGGAAGCATCACGTGATCACTTTCCCTTGCCCATGTTTGTGCATTTTGGTTGATCTAGATGCTTTTCACCAAACTATGTTTTGTTCAGTCATAGTTGCCTTTACTTATAGACAATCAACTTATCTTTCTAAGCAGGACCAAAGTCTCTGACAATATGTTTTAAAGCTCTTTAAAAAAAGATAACTCTATCAACTTGAGGTATAACATATGGAATAAAATGTTACATGGATAATTAGATAACTCTTGACGAATGTACAAACTGGTGTACACTTTCATCATCCCCAAAGTTCCCGTGTGACCCTTTAACCCACCTGCCACTTACAGTTCCAAACAAGCACTGACCTACATTCTGTCATCATAGATTTTAATTTTTTGTCTGTTCTAGGCATTCAATATAAGTAGTATTATGCAATGTATGTTATTTTATGTCTGGCTTCTTTCATTCAGAATGTTTCTGAGATCGATTCATGTTGCTGCAGATCCACACTTGGTTCCTTTTTGTTGCTAAATTCTTCTTTTTTTCTGAAAGACACTATTAAGGAAATGAAACAGAAAGGCCATAGACTGGGAGAAAATACTCACATAACATGTATCTGACAAACTTGTTCATCCATTCATTGGTGGATAGACCTTTCTAGTTTTAGCAATTACAAATAAAGAGTCATATACAGGTCTTTGCATGAACACGTGGTTTCATTTCTCTTGGGTAAATACTTAGGAGTAGAATGGCTGAATCATATGGTGAGTGCATGTTTATCTTTATAAGGAACTGCCAAATTATTCCAAAGTACTTGGAGGATTTTGCATCTCACCATCAATGCACAAGAATTGCAGCTACTTCCACATTGCCTCCATCTATCCTAGTGGGTGTATAGTGGTATCTCATTGTGGTTTTAATTTGCATTTACCTGGTGACATATATAAGTATATAAGTAAGCATATTTCACTTGCATATTGGCAGCTTGTGTCTTCTTTTTAGAAGATATGAGATTTTTGCCCATTTTTAATTGTATTCTCAGTTTTTATAATTGAGATGTAAGTATTCTTTATATATTCAGGATGTAAGTTCTTTGTCAGATATATGTAATGTATATATGAGTATTTTCTCCCAGTCTATGGCCTTGCTGTTTCATTTCTTTAATAGTATCTTTCAAAATAAAGAAGAATTTAATTCAATTTATCTGTTTCTTTCTTTTATGGCTCAGAATTTTGTTATTCTACCTAGGAAATCTTTGCCTAATCAAAAGTTAAGATTCTCTTTATGTTATCTTTTAAAAGGTAGCATGAATACACTTGTTAATTTTGTGGATGATGTAAGGGTCAAGGTTCCACGTGGATGTACAATTGTTTCAGCATAATTTGTTGACAACATTATTCTTCCCCCCCATTGAGTTACCCTTATATTTTGGTTGAAAATCAATTGATATTATATGTGTGTATTTCTTTTCACTCTATTTTATTTACTCTGTTTCATTGATCTATCTATATATTTGTCTGTATCTATATATTTTTTACACCAATCCATACTCATTTGATTAATGTAGCTATAAATATTGAAATCAGATAGCATAATTCATTAAATTTTTCTTTTCTTCTTCAAAAATTATTTTGTCTATTTGAGGTCTTTACATTTCAGAAACATTTTAGAATGATATTTTCAGTTTCTATAAAGAAGACTGATGGGATTTTGACTTGTGTTACATAAGATCTATAGATGAATTTAGGAAAAATCTTAGAAATATTAAAAACTATCTTTCAATCTATGAAAACTCTATATCCCCATTTATTTAGATCATCTTA